CGTAACTAACATTTACTTTCTATAGTAACAGCATAGATTACGCGGTTAGCCAGCTAGCTGTAACTTAGTTACACAATATCCATCTGATGTTTTTAACTTTGTCCAAGTAAATTTTGTTATCAGTATAGTGATACTGAGGTATACATTACACATTCTGGTCTCTCATTTTGCACAAGACACTTGATATACAGCACATATAAAAAGTGCAACACAAAAATTAAGTCCTATATTTATACTATAGGATAATTTATAGTATATATATACATTTTTTTTCTTTCAGACTCTATTATTGCACACACACACTCACAAAGGCCTGAGGATCCATACCTTTGTCATAGAAGCTTTTCCCGCAAACGCCACAGCAGACCCTCCCTTTCCGACCTCCTGCAGCAGATGAAGGGACAGAGCAGAGGGTGGAGGGGAGTGGATGGAGGGTGGTAGATGAGGATGGGGGAGGATGCAGGGAGGAAGAAAGTGAGGCAGTGGGAAGAGGACAAAGGAAAGATGAGGAGAAGGAAGGGAGAGGATGTAGAGAAGAAGAATGGGAGCCTGGCACTTTTTGGGAAATCTTCAAAGGTGAGGACGGAGAGGGGGAGATGGGTGAAAAGACTGAACAGGAAGAAATGATTGTTGATGGGTTTAAGGTAGGAGAAAGGGAAAAGTCACTCTCGTGTTTGGCTGTTCCCCTCTGAAGGTCATAGTCCTGCTCACTGTGGAAGGAGGGATACCACAGCGAGCGAGGCGGGCTTGGCTTATCGGGGTCTGCTTTGACTTTTACGGCCAGTTCTCCTATACACTGAGGTAAGATTGGATCAGTCTCTTGGTCTGTTCTTCCTCCTTCTGGCTTGTGCTTCTCAACCAATTTGCTGCAATGGGACTTTCGTAGAAACTGTGTCAGCTTACTGGGAGGAATAAGCTCCTGATAGAAAAAAAGATGGTAATTGTAAATGTAAGAAGCTTAAATCTGGAGGAACTTTAATGTAAGAGGTTTCGAGTATTTAAAAAACTTAATATCATTTGATTACCTTAGTGGGAGAAACCAAACAGTGGAAGGCCGAGCTTGGAAAATGGAATGGCAGCAGAAAAGAAAGTCCACCAGCAAACTTTTCAAAATGGCAGACATTATTGTTGTGGTCAGCAGGACTGCTTTTTTCTAAATGACAGACACTGGTCACCAGTCGTGAATCTCCTCTTGAACTCCTTAACATCATCATCGTTCCTTCTTTCGTGCTTGACTGGCAGCTGCTGTGTGTGGGTTTCAGCTCAGGATCAGAGAGGATTTCAGCACCGTCTGCAGTCTGAAGCATCAACTCGACTATGGGTCGCGTCTCTCCAAAGCGAAGGAACTGTTTTAAGATGAGCACTTCTTCTTCTGGAGTCACCATAAACCAGCGGTCCAAAACTTTTCCACTGGGAAACTGCAGAGAAAAGAAAGCTCTTTTAAGTTTGGTTGTTGGAAAACGTCCATCATGCACTGCTTTTAATCAGTTAATTACTGTAAATCTAAAGTGATGCTTTGAGAGCACGTGAGGAGAGGTTCCTACTGGCACGAAAAGTCAAAAAGCTTGCTTAGCTGGATGGACTTATTTTTAAACAGTTGTTTTCTAGTCTTACTAACTACTCAAAGTATTTTAGGCTCAAGTCATATTTACACTGACATTCATACTTTTTACTCTTTTCAGCACTTCTTCATCTGAGGACAATTTAAAATCAACATGCAACAGTTGTTTTATAACTTCAGCAGAATGAGTGTACATTACGTGTGAATAGTGAAGAACTAGTCCAAATCTGCTAAAACAGAAGCAGGAGCAGTTTTAAAAACAGAAATTCAAGTTTTA